GACTTTGCAGGACACCTCACTCTTCCGCAGCCACCAGTCCAACATGGACAGGATCTCCAGTGGGATGGTCACCACGATATCTATGTGGTCACAAACCAGCCTGTAGACCCTTGCCAAGCAGGCCTGCAGGGGATGGAGGCACACCCTGACATATTGCACCACATAAGTACATGCCGCCATGTGACCCAACAGCCTCATACAATGCCTCGCAGTGGTCAGAGGTGTAGCCTCTGCTGAATAATGTCCCTCATGGCCGCAAACCTAGAGCCTGGTATGGATGCTCACCTCGTTGTGGCATCCTGCCTTGCCCTCACAAACTCTATTATTTGCATAAGGGATAAGGGTTGATTTCACCTCGCTCAATATGAACCCCAACTGGGAGAAGATTTCCCAGGCCAACACAATGTGGGATAGCAGCTGGTCTCTGGAGTGGCCTCTGATAATCCAGTTGTTCAAATACGGGAAAACATGAAGCCCTCTCTTTCTTAGGAAGATGGCTACCACCACCAACACCGTACATCTGGTGAATACTGAGAGGATAGTGGAAAGACTAAATGGCAGGACCACAAATTGGTAGTGGTCCCCAGTCACCAAGAAATGTAGGAACTCCCTGTGGTGAGGGACAATTGAAATGTGGAAGTATGCATCCTTCAAATCGAGGGTGGTGTACCAGTTCTCTAGATTGAACGAGGGAATGATGGAGGCTAGTGTCATCATCCTGAACCTTGACTTTCTTATGAAGGTGTTGAGCCCTCTGAGACTTTGGGCTGAGGAAATATTGGGAATAAAATCCCATCCCCCGAAATGTGAGGGGAACTTCTACTGCCCCCAATGACAGGAGTGAGGAGACCTGACGAAGAAGGTGCTCATGAGAGGGGTCCCTGAGGAGGGACAGGGAAGGGAGGTGGGAGGGTGGGGAGAAAAGGAAAGGGGATAAGAGTATCTCATTGCCACCATCTCAAGAACCCACCAGCCCAAGGTAATAGACTGCCAAGAACGATGGAAAGGGGACAGTCTGTTTGAGAAGGGATGATCTAATACCGGAGCTGGTAATATGCCCTCAGGCAGACCTTCAAAAACCTGACCTTGGGCCCTGAGTTTTGTTAGGGGGCCCATGAGCCTGACCCGAGGCCAACAAAGAGCACCTCCTGGCACCCCTGCTGTTATGACCCCTATTAGCATCCTGTCTGAGACCCTGCTGGGGCAGCCTTCT